ATTTACCTAATATTTGAAATGACTCGTCTGTCGTCCTGATTCGTTCCCTCATCCAATATTTTTCTCTTGTTTATTTATTTATTTCATTATAAACATATTCTACAATTACAGAAAAATTCCATTGCGATAGACTTATTATATACATATTTCATAGAGTGAATTTAATGGGTGCCAACCGAATTGAAGAATAACAAACAAAAAGTACAACAGTTCCTCAACGATTCTAGCAAGTAATGTTATATGACGACAATTGTACTTGACATCAAGAGCTTATTGGATATAATAAAAAAGTAATATGATGGTAATACTACTATTTTAGATCATTATAAACGACGTCTTTTATCTCAAAGTGTTGCAACACTGTCGATAGCGTTGCATTGTTTACATGTTGCGATAATTGCCAAATATACATTATACATTGATGTTAGCACAGATCTGCTTTAAACATTTGCTAATTTATGATGGTACGTTTCACAACTAAGAGTCTGGATGTGGTGGTTTATTTGGACAAAATAATAAAGGAGTATCCTTTACTGACTTATTATTTTGTCAATTCGAAATCAACTAGATACTGTCTGTAGTTTACGCGAATAGTAAATACGACATTTTAACGGTTTAAAACGAGATATATATTAAACTTATTTGAAAAATTATTTTAACTACGTCCCGCCGTTTTGGATGCTTTGCAGCAGCCGTGGTCGCGGGGAGACAGTTTCCTCTTGACAACGGCTCGCCTTTTAAATCGACATATTTGTTTATTTTATTATATAAATAATTAGACAAGAATAAAATTGTAATCGAAATGTTTATGATAAATATTACAGGTTATTAACATACTTTGTACGATATCATATTTTACATTCATTATATTTTACATTTGAATTAAAGCGTATCATCCTACATTAAACCAATATAGTTGCGCAAGAGAGCTGTTGTAAAAGATATTATATTAACAGGAAAGTCATTGACCGTTATTGACAATATTGACAACAGTCCATCAGAGATGTCCCAAGTTGTTACGGCGTTATGTTCCGGTACAGGCCAATAAAACTGTCGCCGTTGCAGCATGTCGCGTCTAAATACTCGTCTTTATGTATTCCCGATCATTTTTACGGGACGACGCTATTCCCGGCACGCGGTGCGCTTTACGAGAATCATTATCACATGTGCTTATGGGATGTGGTTGCTGAGATCTCGTATTCTGTTTAGTTAGCGGTTTCCCGTCTGGCGTCAGCTACTAACAATCACCCCTAAGGATCTCTAATTTACATGTTGTAACTGTAAAAATAAATTAACTCTATACTACAATGGAGTTAAGTAATGAGTCTTAAGTTATAATGATACCAACGATTTGCTGAAATAGCCAAATTAAAATATAATTTTTAATATGTACGAATAATATATATATAATAATTAAAAAGACTACAGAAATACAGTCAGCAGTTTACGCGAGTAGTACGCACTTAATTAAAACACTTCGTTAAACTTATTCACAAATTATGTTTACGGCTCCACGTTTCGGATGCTTTGCGGCAACCGTGTCAAACTAATTTCGCGTTTTAAACCGTTAAAGTTCTTAAATTAAAGACTATTTACTTATATTATAATTAAATAACTGTGAGATGAATAAGAAGTGAGAATCTTATTGTATAATTTATTAAAGTATTTTAAACTTCACAAAATCATTACTCTTCATCTTATTTTTGGCGTTGTTGTTAAAAAAAGCGAAGATTGATATGGTATTGCCTTATTTTGGTGAGTTTCGATGCAGACTTACCAAACGTATGAGCAGCGGTCTTTGTTCATCGCAAGCGCAGAGTCCCAGCGCATAACGTGCCACGAAATAAACGATATTTTTTGTCCCTCAGCCCTCGACGAAGTGAAGTGCATAATTCTGCACACCTTTATTTTCCCTCACCTCTGCACTTTGTTTTATTTCTTGCACGCCTCGGCCGCATAATTCCGCAATAATACCTTCGGTGTGCCCTAAAAATAGGGGGGATTTCGCTGTATATCGGCGCCCATTGTTCGTCTTTCTATTTTATTCCATACAAATGCTTCCATGCTGATTTTTTATATGAGCGTAATGAATGCTTTATTCGTAGGTGCGAACCATTCAATAGAACGGATTTCTTGCGGGCGTGATTTTTCTCGCGATATCCCAAATACAATTGAGATTTTTAATATTTCATTCAATTCGCGTTGAAAGGCTTCCCCGTACGGGATTGAAACGGGGAGGCTCTACAAAAGAAATCCTTTTAAAACCGCGTAGATGTTAAACATAAAAACTCACACGACACTTCTTAATTCTCGTTCGAAATTAATTTTTTGAGCACCGGTTTGTGGCAATGTACAAAAAATAGTTTTACCCAAAGAAGGGCGCCGCTGCGGTTATCTCATGTTATTTGTCATATCAAGTACCTCGTTTCTTGTCGCCGCCGCATCAAAGACGCCGCACGGTAGCGGAGTGAAGCCACTACTACTTGTGGGAATGTACAAAAGTATTTTTGTCACAAACTAATCAGTGAAATTTTATTCTAAAGATACTTTCTTGTTCATTTAAATGCTTAAAGGAAACAATTAATTATCTAATAATTATCATATTATATTCATTGGGATAATCACACTGCTACGCTAACACCATCTATTACGTCGTAGTTGGTATTTGTTGACTGTCAGTTCTTACTTTGACATCAGAGACACCCTCCATCTTTAGTGTCCCCGTGTGCTGCAAAGCATTCGAAACGTACTTAAACTAATTTACAAATAAGGTTAACCAATATAAATCGTGTTTAAAACCGTTAAAATGTTTAATTTAACCTTTTAAATAATTGAAATGCGCCTGTACAATGAATTTGTCAATGCAGATTTTGGCAGTGTGACCCACCACTTTGCATATAAACGGTCTTATGCAATGAATTAAATTTATTAGTGTTCTTAACACCCAGTTACTGGTGGTATCGCGACAAGAATAAACAAACACCGCTAATGGTGTTAAAATTATCATTTTAATCATAACCACATACGGCCTCATTTGCATACTTACACAAAATCCACAAAACTTGTTTGGTTAGGATGTCTAATTTACGATTATTGTGTTCGTAACGACCATCATCGCGGTATGTTTGTAATAACAATCTCGCATCCAATCCATATGGTACTTCTGAACCGGTTAAACATTAATAAGACCTCATTATAAAAAGTTTTAGAGTCGCTATTTTTGTATATCATTAGTGATAAATTGTTGTATTTTGCATAGCTTCTATCTGTTCGGCCGTCGTAATTGAGAAATGGTTCGCCGTTTCGTCATTACAAGTGGATTTGGTTAAATACACCGATAAGGTATAAAAAACAAGTACATTTTCTTGTTTATATTTAAATTTCTCAATTTGCAGCTAGCTGAGCTACCACCAAGTATTTTTCAAAGTGGACTAGATAAGAATTACAATTTTACTTTGATAATAACTTTACCCAGTTAAAGTTCTTCTTTAACCTCGGCCGCTGCTAAGTATCTGACAGGTAGGGTTGTAAAAAATAAGTTTAGTTATCTATTTTAGATACGATTAGAATGACAAACACATTTTGTGGGGCAGATGGGAGAAAGTATATATTGCCATTAATAAACTTGATTGATTGATTATAACAAAACGTTATATAATTTTGAAGTCGATTTTTTCAACTTTCTAAGTAATTTGTGTAGACGTGTAACTCCTTGTTATAATATGAGATGATGTCGTTAAGGATGTGAGATAAATATCAAAGTGGGTATACATTTTAATTATGTAAAATAATACGTACGTAACGAGGTCCGTTTGTGTTCGTGGAAGCGAGTGCTTAATGAGATTTATGTAATTTTCGTATGCGACTAAACCGGAAAATATCTGAAAGTTTTACGAGCGCGAGTTTTATTTATATAAAAAAAGTTGATTTACATACGTACATTTTAATAAATTTATCTTGATGTTGTCCGCATTAGTTTTTCTTGGCATCAAAATTTGTTTTTGCTAACCTCCTCCTTATTTTTATAAAATAGAACTGTTATCCACGACGTCGATCGCGCCCCATCCTTCTTGCAAATGAATCTTAAAAGATACACATATAGTGTTGCAGACATTTAAAGAGGAATCATTCTTTCATTCATATTTTTTGGGTATCTTGAACCGTTTACCCAGCACTCGCATCGGAAACCCTCAAAGATATTTCCCCGTTTTTTCCACATTTCTCACTGTTTCTTGGCTCCTATTGGTGGCATCGTATTTTTTATAGCCTTCCTCGATAAATGCTCTAACCAACAGAAAAATATTTTTTCAGTAGTTGCTGAGATTAGCGCGTTCAAACAAACAAACTCTTCTCCTTTATATATTAGTATATATTGATAAAAGATTTGAACCGTCGTTAGCGTTTGAATAGATTTCTATAAATTTGCATACATCGGTCCTTGGAAGTTGACTTCTTAAGAACTGCCAAAGTAGAACTTTTTCTCGAAATGAATTAGGACGGTTGCTTTTTGAAGCCGGTTCCCATGATTTGTGGACAGGTGGCGGCACCGTCGGCGTCGTTTCGCTTTGAAGTCGCCGCCACGCGTGCTCCTATCTTAGTTTTTGTCCGTTATTCTTTGCTATTGATTTGTGTGCCGATTGTAATGTTATTCTATACACTCCGATTACTATGGGCTTTTGTCCTCATGGGCCTTTTGAACTAGCTGTGCCCGCGACTTCGTCCGCGTAGATTAGATATTTTTGGCATTATACTTATATATCATATATCTTTGCAAACTACCTCCTCATTATGTTTTTAGGTATCTTGACCCATTTTCGCAGCGTACGCAACGGAAGCCTTCAAAGCTAAATTTTCCTCAGATTTTCCAAATTTTTTCTCGTTCCTGAGATTAGCGCGTATAAACAAACAAACTCTTCCGCTTTATAAATCAGTGTAGATATTTTGTATAAATAACAAAAGTTTCAGATGCCAGGTGTTAATATCTTCTTTATTTGTTCCAGGTTTAACAGCAGAGCTGTATTATGTCCGGGATGGCCAAATAAACTCATACGCGCTTAATTTCGTGGTGCCAGTGCCTGCGACCATTGGGGAACTTCATTTTACGTGGCAGAGTCTTACGAGGAGACCCGTAAGTATTAAAAAAAACTTTAAAAGACAACCCATTAATAGTATAAATGTATGACTGAAGCAACGAGTCCCCACCGGGTCCAACTTCAATTAAATTTATAATTTTTGAAACATTTTGGACTACTTACGTCTGTAAAATCTGTATATTAAATTGGTGGTAGGAATTTTGGAATCCCGTCCGGGTCACGAACCACTGTTCACAGATAAAAAAGCTTAGAAGATTGTGTTCCAGTTTCCGTCTGTGGATTGTCGAATATACAAAAAAGGTCGACAGCGCATCTGGTTTAGATGTTCTATGGCTAGGGTATTCCTTACTGAAATAATGAAAACCTTTCCAATTGAGTCGTAGGTGAAAATACTGTATAGTGACGCGTTTTATTCCGTTGTTTTATTTCAAGCTATGACTTTGTTAAGAGTTAAACGTAGAAATAACATTAAGAAGGAACATACGGATAGTGCTCAATTCTGTTTCCTTTGAAAGTTTGTCTTGTAAAAACAATCTGACTCTACAATAGCATCGACTCGCACTTAAAACGGTTTCCCTGTAGAGTTTGTATCGCGTTCCGCTGAAAACGATTAATGAGTGTCGTTGACTTGTTTTGTTGCTGTAAATGCTTTTACAGCGGTGATTAGTTGTGAACGACTAAATATAGACTCGAACAAATTCGTCAAGTTCTACCTCGATTGTCTTGAAATAATAATAATTTAGGCGTAGCCAAACTTTTAACGGTTGAAAGCTCGATTCATTTATTTAGCTATTGTCTAGTTTACGTGAGTAGTAGACATTTAAATAAAACACTTTTAACTGTTTAGATCGCGCAAAATTGTTTTATTTAAATTAGATTAGTTTATTTTCAATGTTTGGATGCATAAGAGACGTAGTTACAGTAACTTAATATATTCATATATTTCTGGTTTTAAACCCTGAAAAGTGGACATTAACACAACTGGCGTAAAATAAAGATACGCCATAACATGGCTTATAGTTAAATTACACTCCGTTCTCTTAAACAAGTCAATAATAGATGAGTTGTTCTGTTATTTAACAAAAGAAAGACAAACAAACATACTAATAATATTATTTGTGGTATGTTATAATTTTATTACGCTAAAGTATGAAGGTTTTTCTTTAACAGTTTTCCGCGTTCGATGGGGAAGAGAAAATGTAATTATCGTAGTAGGGTGGAAACTTTCCGCCGAGTTGCCTCGATGGTCGGCCTATTTGCCTGGCAAACGAGCTATTCTTATGGAAATACCACGTCTTATCTGAATTTAGATAGCTTGTAAATTAGCTCCGATAACCTACCGACGCAGGCTTATCCAATAATCTTCAGGATTAACTTTGGTCACCTTTAAGCTTATTTGGGGTTTAGGCAGGAATTTTATCTGTACTTGGGCTTTCTGTTTAAATCTTTTCATGATAACCACATCTAACTGCAGAGCTTTGTAAATCTGGGTGTCTTGAACTTTATCTGTGTTTTAACTCCTCACGAGATTAAAGATTACCTTAGCCACGATAATGCTTTGCGTAATATATAACGCTTTTTATTTAAGAATTATTTTATAAAACTATAAAGTGACGACTCGAGAACCGCTTTTCAATTCATAATTTGTCATTCTTAGAAAAATATATACAAGCTAGAGTCGAACTTTCTAAAACAGCCAACCGTCGCTCTATCAATATGTTTTTGGGGGGGGGGGTATTTTAAAAAAAAAAAAATTTTGGGGGGGGGAAGGAAAGAATTTAGTGGTTTTATTTTGGGGAGATTTTTTTTTCCCGGGCGGGGCGGCGGGGGGGTTTGGGGGGCCGCGGGGGCGGGGGGTGGGGCGGAAGTTAAAAAACATTTTCTAATAAGTCGAACTTACTAAATCAGCCAGCCATACCGTTAAAGTGCTCTATCAAATGACTTACTGTTTAAACTTGATTGTTGATATTATTTATACATGATCTAATTAAGTTTTTGATGAGTATTCAATGTACAGTTTTTGAATTTATATAAGTATCCAAGCTCTTATGAGGTCTTGTGATATTTGAAAATGTAATAATTCAAACTTTTTTATTTGAAAGATCTTATTTAGTGTAAAATCAATGACGCCAAGAAAATTTATGTGTACCTACATAAAAAAAAAACAAATCCTATGAAAACGTATGCATACACGATTTAAATTAAATATTTGTTCACTTTTCAGAAATTAGATTTTGGACTAATTATTAAAAAATAAAGAAGATGTACATACATACCTATGTATAAGCCTAAACACTACCAAAATTTTCATTAAAATGCATGCAAGTCGGTTTTATGCGTTTCTCACGGCTCAAACATTTATTGCTTACACATGTTTGTATTTATACGAATGTATTATTGATGGGCGATAGGACCAGAATAACAACGAACGTATTTTTTATGGTAAATGTGATCGCATCTTATGCTAATAACCAGTTAGGCCATTCGGCGGAGTGGGTAGTTTTATATTTTACTTTGAATAGGTTATTTATTATTATTTTCTAATGGGACTATCTGACCATTAACCATTCCCTTTTAAGAAGTATATTGAGTTATCCAACTCTCACTGTGTCCCCTTGAATAAATTAAACTGGGTTATTGCAACCGACTGTACAACAAGGTCCCGTATTCAAATCCTGGGCAATTAGAATTTTTCTAAGATTCGTTACCGCGTCGTTCCGAATAACCCTCACTATTAAAGTGTAGGTAGTCTTCAGAGTACCCCAAATCTAGACTGGGGAAGCGCGGTGGACAAGTGAGTAAGCTCTTCCTTATCTTATGCGAGAAAGACCTATGCCCAGCAGTGGGAAATTAATAGTTAAGAATTATGAGATAATTGCGTGTTTATTTAAAGTCGATTATGCAAGCGTACCATATGTTTGCATAATCGGCAAGCCGAAAGCTGAAGACACTCGGTGCACTGAACTTGTCAATAACATCTGTTTATTTAGGACAGCATTTGCAAGTATAATATAAGACGCGACTGTACCGTACAGTTCTTTCCTTAAAAAGTTATAACTTTGCCATAACGAGAATAAAAGGCGACGGCTCTTTGACGGCCTCGGTGGTTGAATTGCTGTATGGCTAATAGTAAACGGGTCGTGGGTCCAACATATTTCGAATTATTTATAACATGTTGGATTTCGTCTGGAATTCGAAATATGTATGAAATTGGTGCTACGAATAGTCGTCAAAAGAAAAATCCACGTTAATCGCGTTACAGTTTCAGTCTGTAAATTTCCGAATATCCAACGCCAAAATAGGTATACAGCACAATTTGTTGTGATGTTATGTGGCTTAGATATTACAACTTCCATCGTATGAATACCATATTTGTCTGTACTCCATCCTAAAAAAACATGATACTGATAAAATCGACGTATCTCTCACGAAATACACTGCAATTTATACTTAACAAGCACATCATTACTTGTTTGTTAAAGTAATTTGAATTTTAAGTGGCTCGAGAATGAACTTTCATAATTAAATAGATTTCGTTTGCTCCTAACGCGTTACCTAAAGTACAGTGCATACATATACAAAATAATGTAACATTGACAATTAGGTTTTTAAACAGCCTTTGCTCTGTACACGCGAGAAAAAAATAATTAGTAATAATAGTAAATATATATAATAATATAGTTCTCGTTTCAATCGGTTAAAATGTTTTTTTATTTTATTTTGTTTAATATCTATCTATTATCTTTATAATACTGAAATCACTAAATTAGAAAAGAGAATACAGAAACAAAAGTAGTCTTTGATACTTTACAGTACCTTCCAAAGTCACGCACGACTCACGAGTATCGCGAAACCAAATCACGCTGTGGCTAAAAATTAACTGCATATATTTCGCGTTTTAAACCGTTAAAAGACTTTTATTCAAATGTATATAAACTACAGACAATACTCAAAAGATAATTATCAAGAGACTTTCAGTAGTGCGGTTGCCCTATTTACTGACGTCGGTGCTTTTGACTCGCGCTAAGCAAATATTTGGTAAACGGTTAAATGAGGGTACGAGGCAAGAGCGATCGTGGCATTGTACATTCCCGACTAATATTTAATTAGAAGCCACGGTGTCGCACCTCCGCCTCCGCGACCGAGCAGCGGCCGGGCGGCAAAGGGCCCGCGGCGAATGCTGTTTGTTTTACCATTCATGTTGCCGGCCCATGATTAGTCAGATTGTAATGAGTGCCCGGAACGCAAACTAGCTCGTTATGCGCCTGACTTCCAGCCTTTGTTTGTTTCCCTTTTAATGATACACTACTGCTCGCGTCCTTTGTAATTTAACGATTTCGAAAGTTTGCTCCGATAGTTGCAACCGAACTCTGAAGTTTGTGCATCGTCTTGTTTCTAACTAATGTAGGTATATGCGCTACCATAAATATCGTACTTTATTGATGGATGACCAATTAATTTAATTATACCTAATGACGTGCCTTGTATATTAATCGTGGTATACAAATGGTGGGATATATTTTATTAATAATAAAACCTAAAAACTTTAGTATTTAGATTAATACATCCAATTAATGTCCCCAACATTTTATGATAGAGGGGTACAGACAAGCATGATATTCATTTGGTGAAATACCTAAAAGAGATGCGATGATTTTAGTTTTGGATATTTGGATATCCATAGACTGAAACGAAAAAGCGATAAAACTTCACGACTTTTTCATCGGCAGACGGTGGTGGTGAGCCTGGACAGAATTTCGATATGTCCAGATTTCCAGGCGAAGTCCAATATGTTTAAGAAAAATTAGAAATAAATAAACACTTTGAACTGGTAGGGTTTGAACCCACGATTTGTTGACTACAAGACACACATTGCTACAATTAGACCAACGTGCCCATCCTATATTAGAAAAGGCAAAGGGTTTCGTAAAAGCATATGATGATTGGATTGACGGATACCGAAAAAGTTACTCTAACCTAATTCGGAAAGCGGACATGCCCCATCGTGGCCATTTATGGCTGCTACAGTTACATTTAGATGTCGCAATGACGTTAGTGAATATTCAGAATGCGACATTTAAGTATCTACCACTTTTTCCTTTTGTTACAGTTACCGTACAAACTTCGAGTGGATGTCGTCTCGCACCCTGAAGCATTACACCCTCCCACATTCAGTATACCTATCACGGGCTTTGTGCCAACCGAACCACAGACATGGCAAGTTGATCTTCCGTGCACGCACACAGTGGCAGCAGAGGTCGACGTCACGATTTCCATGAACATCTCCTCCGGTTCTTCCTCAACTGCTCTGCATTTTAGAAGACGTAAGATATGCCTGAAAGATTCCCCACGGCCAGCTGTAAGAGTGGACAACGCGCCCCACGCTCCGACGTCAGCGGATATATTCTACGCAGGCGCCGGTTGCGCTGGTGGCCTATTGATAATAGCGGCTGTATCTGCGGCAGCCTGTAGAGCACGCGCAAGGAAACTTCGCAGAGCGAGAAGCGACGAACAAGATGCCCACGCCTTCCTACCAGACTCATCGTGCAAGTCCGCGGCGAGCTACACCAGCTATCGTCGGCCCACCTCATTGCCCGCTGTAGCCGCTGAGGAAAGAGCGAGAGATCTTCAACAGAGGATTGCGGAGCTAACGATACAAAGATGTCGAGTGAGGCTACGATCCGTGGCTATGGAAGGCACCTTTGGACGTGTGTATCGAGGTACTTACGCGGACGAAGATGGAAGGGAACAGGAGGTGTTAGTCAAGACTGTAGCTGAACATGCATCACAAGTGCAGGTAAAATTTACGTTACGTTATAATGTAAGGTTACCCAGTTTGCCAAATTTCTTGGTATCAAGTAGAATTTTCTTTTAGGTCTCACTTCTCTTACAAGAAGGCTGTATGCTATACGGATTACACCATGAGAGGCTTCTGTCCGTACTCGGTGTGAGTATCGAAGACCAGACCGCTCCGTTCCTGTTATATCCGTGGGGTTCCGGCTGGAGGAATCTCAAACAGTTCCTATTAGCATGTCGAGGTGTCACTATAGGAGGGGCCACGGGTGGCGCGCCGCCTCCTGCATTAACCACTCAGCACGTGGTTAGAATGGCGCTGCACGCTTTGGACGGACTTTCCTATTTACACTCACAACACGTACTGCATAAGGACATCTCTGCCAGGAATTGCGTGTAAGTAAAACCTTCCTGCTTATCAAGCTGTTCGATTTCTGCGTAATACCTATTTATTTCCATTTATAAAATTCGCGGAAACCAAAGTACTTTGAAATTACTTGTTGAATTATTTATAAAGCATCCACGAGGGACTGAAATACGAAGTCACGGTGTATAAATTATCCAATACTGATCTTGTTCTCATTTCAACAGGGTTGACGAGAATCTGCGAGTAATGATAGCTGACAACGCGTTGTCCAGAGACCTTTTTCCAGCAGACTACCACTGTTTGGGTGACAACGAAAACCGGCCAATTAAATGGTTGGCCCTCGAAGCTCTTTCGAAAAAGCAATTTAGTCCTGCATCAGATGTTTGGGCCCTGGGTGTACTCCTGTGGGAACTTACGACCTTGGCACACCAGCCTTACGCGGAAATAGATCCCTTTGAGGTCGCCGCGTACTTGAGAGATGGATATCGGTTACAACAACCGGCGAATTGTCCGGACGAATTGTGAGTACATTAACGCTATTTGCATATTGCTTTTTCCAGGTTTTATATTTAAATAAAACATTTTAACGGTTTAAAACGCGAAATTATTAAATTATTAGTTCCACTTATTTAAAAGTCTCCCGTTGGTAGGGAGACTTCGAAAAATAAGTTTAACTAATATATAGCTTTTAAACCTTGAAAAATATATTTAAATGAGTACTACTCGCGTAAACTACAGTCGAAGTTCAATGGTGACGTGTGATGGTATCTCAATTGTTTAGCAGCATGAAACGCTGTTGATGGCGGTTCAATGTTCGCCCGTTTTTAAGATTTTTAATTTTTTCAATAGTAACTCATATATTTACCTAAAACGGTGAAGCTTACTCCTAAATAAATAATTTTATTGACAGATTCGCGGTCATGGCCTACTGCTGGGCGATGTCTCCGGACGACAGACCAACGTTACCTCAACTACAGATCTTCCTGAGAGACTTCCACACGCAACTGACAAGATTTGTGTAGACAAAGACTAAAGTGAATTTTCAGTGCGGTTACCAGAGGATTGAGGTGTATGTTCCAAGAGACTGATTATGTAAATTATTATATATTTTATTGAGGCGTCGATACATTTTCGTCAGTATTCACGAAAATTTGAGGATATTTCGTAAACATGTTATATTTATGTGACGATACAATTATTCATGGAACAATATTGAAGATAAGTTATAAGGAGATTTCGTGCTAGGCTGTCATGGGTTATATTATTGTCAATTTTTATCTTACTAAAATACTGGATTTATTGTTGTATGTGTAAATGAGTCCAACGTGTTTTTGGTCCTAAAGGCGTATCAAATTGAACATCTAAACAAAGCTGGGATTTAATTAAAACACTATAACGGTTTAAAACGCGATATATTAGTTAAACTTATTCGGAAATGATTTTTAACTTCGGCCCGACGTTTTGGATGCTTTGCAGCAGCCGTGGTCACGGGGAGACTAAAGATGGAGGATGTCTCTGACGTCAAAGAACTCGTTTAATCTTGTTAGTATTTTACCTGAAATAAAACACTTAACTATTTAAACTTAGAAAATACATTTTTGTTAAGTGTCATGGGTGCTCTAAAGCATTTAAAGTGTCAAATCGTAGTTTCAAAAATAATTAGTTTTAAACGGTTTAAAGTGTATTATTTTTGTTTAAATAAAACACTTAACGTTTCAAAACTTCAAATATATATTAGTCATTAAAGCCATTTATAACGTCGAGTCGTAGTAATATAACTAAGCGTTTTTAAACCGTTAAAATTGTGTCATTTATCGTACCACTAGCGTCTTCCACAAAAATTGTGCTTTTAAAACGACCTGAATCGCGACTCAAAGACACAATAGTTACCTTTAAAATAAACATATATTCACAAAGAAATGTGCTGGCAGCTAGCCACAGACTTTTAGTGAAATTAGTTTTCGTGAATAAGAGCAAAAATGTGTTGTGACGACGACCTCTTACGAAACCTCACACTGCCATATTAGTAATTATTTGTAAATATAGAGAGATTATGATACATATATCGATGTGCCTCAGTTAAAAGTTTAGATCGTTGATTGTTGTATAAATTTTAGAATTGTACAAGACAATATGTAGAATTAGTTAAGTAGAGTTATTGTAAATAAACTGTGTTTCCGGATTTAGTGCCAAATTATTTGCCACTTGTTGTGTGCCAATAACGACTAATATTGTAAGACCTGGACATCCAAGTATAGTACAACTATATAAGTATAATACAACTTGTACTAAAGAAATCAAAAATTACTTTCAAGGGAGCGTACACGTTGATTTGTTTTTCTACGCCCCCTTGAGTTCAGATTTAACGATTAATTTAAAAGAATTATTGACTAACGTGGCTTCAAAAAAAGCCAAGATTCTGTATTCTTATATCAAGAAGAGTTTAGAACAGAACCCTTTTAACGGTTGAGAACGCGAAATATATATATACTTTCTAATAACAATTAATATATTTCGCTTTTTAAACCGTTTAAACGTTAAAATTATAATTTGGTTTATTTCAATTTGTACCACTCTTGTAATCTACAGATGATGCTAGTTACATTTATTTAAGAGAAAATTTATTTTTAAGAAATAATTTTTCGAATCATAAGTATAAGAAAGGGGAAAAGTTAATTTTTATTTATTGTTTTTAGAATCACGTTTAAGTTAAAAGAAAAACAGTTATCAACAGTTACATTTGTTATTTCTATACTGAAATTGTATTTTCATTGAAATAAGAGTATACATTCTGTTTATATAAAAGGTCAAAATAGTCAGTCGCCTATAATTTATTAATATTAGAAAATCAAAATAGGGCTCTTATATACAATTACATATATAATTAGTGTATAGATATAAAAACTATTTAAAGGACACCCTATATAGTCCTGTGATGTACATTTTGTAAATACTATGTTTATGTAAATCATAAAACGTCAATATACGAGTGAATATATTGAAACTGGGTTTTCTTTCTTTATACTTTTTTTTTAACTGATGCTGTGAATGCATAATGCACGCCCACGTAGGGCAAGTGTGACGTGGCGAGTGTGGTAAATCGTATAGCCCACCAGAACCACTAAACACACCAGACCTCTACGGTGCTTTGAGGGAGCCCAGGGAACACGTCATTTTTTTCTTTATACCTTAAGGTTGTTTAAATTATAACCTAAATTCGCGCTAAAAAGCGCCAGCAAGATTCGAACTCACGACCTCATTTAACAAGTGCGTTACCAAAGCAACGTTTATGTTGACGAGAGACGAAGATATGTCCAAAAATAATTATTATTATAACAAATGAAGGACATGTTTTACTTCATTAGACAATTTACTTCCAAAACAATGGCGTTATAATTATGTCAATAATAATTACTACCTTGCTTAGATAGTGGATTTTATTATTAATCGGTGTATGTATTTAATTTTAGTTATTTTTTCTATTTTTAATAGTTCTTCAACCATTATATTTACTTTTTTTATGATAGATCTTAAAGTAAATCCTTATAAATTATAATTCATAATGATCGCCTCTGTATCTAAGCGGGGTTAAACGCATTGTGTTAAGCGCAAAAAGTCCCAGGTTCGAATTTATCCAGTTTCGGTCGGGAAGAGCACAGAAATCTGATCAATTACTTACCTCTAAAAGAACTGTCTTACTAGACTCGAATTGAAAAAATATTTTGTAGTCGCCAATCGGACCGTAGAAATCGTGGAAAATGTAAAAACACCGGGGAAAATTACTCATTCCTGGCTTGTCTTACGTGCTGTGAACGGTTCGAGAAACCAAAGAATATGTAGGAAATAATGATTCCTGTTTAAATGACCTAAAAAATGTCTGCGGCACATTTTTTAAATTTACTCGCAGGAACCATTTTTATGGCGATCATATTTGTTCAAAATTAATGCATTATTACCAATTACTGCTGAGAGGAACATAATAAAATGTATCTTCAGCGCTATATAGCTGGTTATTTTTGGCATATAATTTGTAGGTAAGTAACGCAAACTGAATATGTAACTAGTGTAAATAATTATAATGCTGTAAGACTTTTATTTATTGGATAAATTGAGTTACTTTCACGCAGCAGTCGTGGCCGAGCGGTTAAGGCGTCTGACTAGAAATCAGATTCCCTCTGGGAGCGTAGGTTCGAATCCTACCGACTGCGAATTTTTTTATGAAAAAAAAATCTGATAAATTCGACATTTAGTATCTAATCTCGCGTAACGCGTAATGATTGACGTAAATTAAAGGCGGCTTTGAAATACCATTTAGTGATATTACTAAATCAGTAATAGGTTCTTCACGATTTTTTAACTTTGATGAGGATATTTTTATTAATGAAGTTTTAACTTAATTAATATTTTTGGTACACAATCCAATATATAGTATTAAATTCTCGTCAATGAATGGTGTTTAAACACGTCAAAACAACGTTTACTGGGCCAGTTAGTATTGTACCAAACATGAATGTCATGCAGTAGGTATGCTTTAGTGGAAAAGGCATTAACCTCGTTTAGGCTACAAAGTTGAGGCCCCTACTACAAAGATAAGCAATAATTATTGCTCACTTTACTTTCCGAGAATAACCTTTATAATAAAAAGATTCATTACTTCGATAAAAGTGGGTCGGACGTGCGTACTGATGCCATAAAACCCACCCCTGTTTGCGTACAACTAATTACCGGGGGGTAAATTACAATTTGTAGACGTAACACTCGGAATTTTATTCCTTTATAAATTGCCGCTTTTAGACTTGTTTATTTAACATCCGGGACGACTTCAGTTAACGGATACGTGAATGTTAAAGATTCGATATTTTTTTTATGAAATTAAAGTTTTTGTTTTCCCGGATTCAAACCCAAAACTCTCTTGACGCGACACTAGAGACCAATGAAGTTTGACAATTGAGCTACGACAGTCAAGATAGCGTAGGCCTTTCACTTTTATTAAATACATATACATTAAACATGCATAGAAACCTGTGTGTTTGTCCTTTTTTTAATGAAACTTAGTCACTAGAACAAATTATATTTGACTTACAGTTAATTGGAAGGATGGAAGAGTGATGCTGACTTTTTCATTATATAAGAAAAATAAACTAAAATCGATTAGAAACCGACATCTATAGCGTTTCGTGCTGTTGCTATAACCAAGAGAGGTGCAAGTAACAAAAGGTTGAACAAATTCGACGATGACGTATAGGACACGGTAGCTATTTGGTTAGAGAACATTGTGGATGCCGGTTCAAGTCCTGCCCGTGTCGTAATTTTTTTTCAATTTATAATAGACCTTAAATTTACATAATGCCATCATGTGCAAGAAGAAGTATTAAATTTTGAAAATAAACTGGGTATGTTTCGAAAATGTTCGTATTTCTACACTTTTGTGTATGTTGTCTGTGTCATTTGTTTCATGTCAGTTATATTAAATATTCAAGGATAAACAATAATAAAAATTAAAGACTAATTTTATTGGTGACGAGGCGCATTTCTCGTCTACACTTCGCCCTCAACTATTCTTGAGAATGGCGGAAATTGGTAATGAACTTTAGTTATGTGCTATATGAAGCAGGGAAGTAATTACTGATCGGTTCCTTTGTGGGGAGATAAAGCAGTAATCCGCTACTTAATGAGAGTTTGAGGCTAAACTACGATCCGATTTTGAAGAGAAAAAAATTTCGATAAGATTTATTTATGTTAGTAAAATTCCGTTTTATATGTGCACACATTTATGTGCGTTGTTAATTTTATTGATGCGGTTTGCTTAATAGATAGAGTAATTCAAGAGGAGCATTCATTAAATAGTGGAGAAATATTGTTATTTTTTAAGAATGTGATGTCGTAAATAATTTCATTTTTTCGGAACACAAGATTTATCAAAATAATGTGCTAAGTTGTACACACGAAAAGGGTCTAAAGAAAATGTTTGGTGTACGTTAATCACTTTTACTTGATTTAGTAATATATTTTAAGCTATTAA